GGGAAGGCAGCTGGGCAGAAGTTTGCTGCGTCTTTTCCAGGGACACCGACATTTGCTGCTTAGGCAACTTTCTTGGAGTCCAAAGTCTAGACCTAATCTGATTGGAGTGGGACAAATGGAGGCCACCTTTTCCTGTAACGAGGCCTTGGGACCCAAAGTGCACTTCTCCATCTTGATCCCAGCAAAGGCGGCCATAGGGTCAGTACTGGAGAGGCCTCGTCTTGGAGGAGTGACTGCAAAACGCCTCTCCCTTGTCTGCTGCAGAGCTGCAGGGCATGTGTTTCCGGCCTGCGCAGGTAGCCCTCTGTCCGTTTCAGTTTGAGTATGGGAGAAAAGCTGAATTCAGCCACTCCAGAGATCAGATCACTTGTTTAGCACCCACACACCCTGTCCCCAGACAAACCTTCATGCCAGTGAAGTCGTGCTGGCCCGCTTGGTGCTTGCTTTAATGCCCGTGTCCTGTGCCTGCTGCCTTCTCTTCCTCCCTCGCTGGCCTGCTTGGCGCTTGCTTTAATGCCCATGTCCTGTGCCTGCTGCCTTCTCTTCCTGAGCACCAGTTCCCATCCCTTTCCTTCCTGCCATCTACCTTCGTAGACAGCCGTCCGCTGGCCTGCGTCCGTCCTGGGGCGTTTCACTTGAGCCTGGACCGTCCCACTGCAGAGGCTGAAGAACATTGACTTCTCTGTGTGATGGGGGAGGGACATGGCTTTGAGGGGAAGGCGGGAGGGGGTGCGAAAATAAATGTTTTTGTGAGCAGTAACCGAGCTGCCCCCACTGGCCACTTTCCTCTCCGGACGCAGTCCTGTGGTCTGAGTCTCTGTACGTCCGGGAGTCTCTGCTCTGCCTGGTTACAGATACCGCTGTCAGTCTTTGAAACGGCCAATAAATGATGGTGTATTTATGTGCTGTGCTGATTGCCAACAGCTTCCCCCCAGTAGCCGTTCTTTGTACAGACCATCCCAAAAGTTTTGTATGAAGAAATAATCTTGAAAGGTCGCCATAGCGAGCGCACTGCAGCTGGGGGCCACTTGCCAACGCCTCAGTCTCTTCTTGGCCCTGTGTCCTCGTTCATGTATTTCCTCTCCCGGCCTCCCCTGTGCTATTATCCCTGTTACATCGATGGGCAGATGAGGTTAAATGACTTGCCCACGGTCACATAAGAAATTCTGTGTTGGAGGTGGGAATCAAGCACAGGTCTTGAAAGTACTGCCTAATGCCCTAACCACTGAGCCATCCTTCCTGTGGTACGAGAGTCCTGCAAAAATGTGTGGCCCAAACTAACACCCAGGGCTGCCTTGTCAACCTGCCAGGAGCCTGAGGGGCCACACCCAACCCATACTGCTGTCTGTCACACGCTCCTGGCGTACATGGATGCCTAGAGACCACACCGGGTCAGCAGTGTGATCCTGCAGCAGTCAAAGAAAAAAGTCAACACAACTCAGGCAGGCCTTTGGATTGTCCCTAGCACCTGCTCCCACCCACTCCCAGCTTCTGGCATTTGGGGCCTGGCTTTTCAGAGGACCCACAAGGCCAGTTAGTCGGAGCTGTGAAAAATCAGGGATTTGATTCCCATACCGGCCTGAGCGCCTTCGTCAGTGCGCATGGGCGTTGGCCACCGCGGAGGTGGCAGACCCGAGGCAGCGGGGCTGCAGGAGTCTGGTGGAGGCAGGCACGCTGGGAGTGGGGCGAGCGGGATCCTGGTCCCTGCACAGGTGGCCAGAGACGGCTGCTCGGCAGTTAAGACAGGCGGGCACCTGGGACTCATTAAGAGCCGGCCTGCAGTAGCAGGCTAATGGGACCCCTGCAGCCAGTTCAGGCAGGCTGGGCCACTCTGAAAGGCTTCCCCTCAGACGGGGAGGGGGACGGAGAGGAGGGGAGGAAGTGCGGAGTGGAAGGGCACTGAAGGCTGGAGCCTGGGAGCGGTGGGGGAAGTGGCCCAGGGAGAGGCTGCTGTTCTGTGGGGAAGCCCACTTCCCTAGGCCGGGGGGCACCACTGGGGAAAAGGGGAGTCTAGGACCCCAGAAGGGTTTTTCCCCTAGTGAAGGTGGCTCGTTAGGCGGGGCCCTCACCCCTGGGAGAAGCGAGAGGTGGGGGGGGAGGGGAGTCCCTGTGAGCCTCTGAGGGGCACACACAGGGGGGGCAGGGGAGTCCCTGTGAGCCTCTGAGGGGCACACACACTCCACCAGGAAGCGCAGGCCCTGGGGCATGACCGGAGCCCGGCCACATTCAATATTTAGTCAGCTGGCGGGGTGGTGCTGGAGGAAGAGGCTGGCTCTGTCACTGGCCTCTGACCACATCCTGCGGGCCCCCGCCCAGGCCTGGCTCTTGGAAATTGAAATTGGGCTGTAGAGAGGAGTTGCCCTGCGGGGGGGGGGGGGCCAGGAGGCTCCTTGGGCCGGACAACTGGATCTTCAGCTGGAGTCACATGTCGTCTCTACACGACCTTTCCCCGAAGGTCTCCCAAGCCTAACGCCTGCTTGGATGGCGTGGATTGCGGATGCTTGTGGCTGTGGGTTGCCACTAGAGGGTGCTGCTTTCCCGCAGTGGGACGTGAGCTGTCTAAGCTCAGCAGGCCCACGGACCGGGACATGCCTGGGTCAGTGCGGCTCAAGACACACAGCGATGGCTGTAAAGGCGACCTGGCGCTGCCCCCCGCGTGATCCGTTTTCTGCATACGCTGAATGCCCGTTAGCGGACGTGAGATGCGTTCAGCAGAGGCCGGACTCTGCACTAACGTAGCCGTTCCCGTTCCCTGCATGTTTACACTCCCACAGATGCCGACTGCTCCGATTCCCCCTCGCTCTCCTCCCCAGCTGTCTTCGGTGGATCTTTACTACAGTCGTTGCAAAGCTTCTTCCCCAGCTGTCTTTGGTGGATCTTTACTACAGTCGTTGCAAAGCACAGTCAGCAGAACTCCGTCCTGCAGGGCCGGCCGGCCAAGCTGTGCCTATGAAAACAGCTTTATAAGCCTCTGAGCCTCCTCGCTCACACATTTAGGAGAATTATAGCTGGCGTCTGTCAGCCAGGTATTTGCGGTCGGTGAGGTTACTTGCTGGGTAGGCCCAGTGCCCTGCCAAGCGTAGCCCGTCGCAGGGTTTGACTGCGTCATAGCCAGGCCTTACGTTCAAAGGGAGACGGTTTTGTAAAGTCACTTGGCTGAGGGTGATGGCACATGGCAGGGCCAGGGCAGGTATTGCAGCTCATCATCTGTAACGTCGGTCCCCACGAGACACGTGGTCCTGCTGCTGAGGACTGAGCCGTGCACGGTGCTAAAAGTGGGGACCAAGGAAACCGGCCACCAGCGCAGCACCAGCGGCTGTAGTATCCGAGCACCGTGGATCCGTTTCGCAACCCCTTCTCCAGACAGGTGCCTTCTAGCCCTGCTGCTGGAGGCTCTCAGAGCTGCTGAGTGTCTGTAGCCCCTGAACTTCAGCTAGACTCGTGTGTCTGAACGCCAAGTCCTGAGTGGCTGACTACAGCCGGCCCAGAGTCAAAGCCCTCCAGCACTCACTGCGCTTGGGGTAATTTGTAATGGTCCCCTCCCTTAGCACGAGGTTTCAAAGCTCCTAGGTGCTAAGCGCCACTGGAAAAGCTATTTGGAATGACAGAGGCTTATCAGCAACTGGCTGGCGCTGGAGAATCTGTAATGTAGTTTTTAGCCCAGCATACAAAGGGGGACCCAGTCTCAGAATGGATCTAGCGGAGCCGGATGGCTGGGCCCTGCTGTGGTTTTTTGCATGACTTGGATCATGAACTTGTAAGGACACGGTCTCTCTTTGGCCTGTGTTTGTACAGCATCTGGCCCGTAGGGTCCTGGTCTGGGATGAAGCAGTGTAAGCGGTATGATAATACAAATCACTAATAATAATGCTTAGGGCCCTGCCAAATTCATGCTCCGTTTTGGTCAATTTCACTGTCCTAGGATTTTAAAAATGATAAACGTCGCGATTGTAGATTTAAATCTGAAGTGGCGTGGTAGCGTAATTGCAGGGTATTGCGGCTGCCTTCAGAGCTGGAGAGCAGCAGCTGCTGGACAGGAATGGAGCTGTGAAGGCGGAGCTGCCGCTGGCCTGGGATGGCCACCCTGACTTCTGCACTGCTCCTGGCGGGCGGGGCGCTGCCTTCCGAGCTGGGCACCCAGCCGGCATAACGGTCGCTGCTCTCCAGTTGCCCAGCTTGGAAGCCAGCACAGAAGTAGAGGTGGCAATACTGTGACCCCCTCCCCAATAACCTTGTGATCCCCCTGCAGCTCCCGTTTGGGTCAGGGCCCCAGTGCGAGAAATGCTGCTCTCTCGTGAAATCTGTAGGGTCCAAGCACACCCACGGCCAGATTTCACGGGAGGATGCACCCTGGTCTGTGGTGCGTTTTGCACGGCTGTGACTATGGTAGGGCCTTACTAATGCTGCTGCGGGGTGAGGCGGAGGCTGCTTCCTGGCAGCGGGGTAAAGCCGAGGAGAAGCGCAGCGGATACAGGAGTGAGAGGCCCTGAGTGGCTGTTTCTATCAAGCAAATAAAAATAAGCCAGCTCCCAGGGTTCCTCTGTTGCTGGGGCAGGGGCAGTGGTGGGACTCAGTGAGCATGTAGGTCCATTAACAGTTGTTGGAAGGAAACCTTGACCCCCCCCCAGCAAGGTCTCCTGGTGGCGGCGCCCACAGACATGGGACCCCCAGCTGGAGGGGCCCCATTTGCTCCATAACGGCATTAATCGCTCTGAGATCTTGGGCGTAGAAATCCTCCTCTAGGGCAGCCCGGCCCCACCCTCTGAGCAGCCACCAGCCGCCTCGCTCGCTGTTCTTGCAAGCCCAGCAGCAGCTCGTTTCACATTTACGGCGCGTCCTGTGGGCAGTTCCTAGAGTCCGGCCCAGCTCCTCATCCCACTGACGTGCAAGAGAAAGCAGGTCGCGGCGAGGCCTGTCGTTATTAGTCATTGCGATAGCTCCCGCGGGGCCCAGCCCCCTTCGTGCTAGGCTCGGAACAGACCCAGAACGAACCCTTCTGCCCACAGACCCTGTCTCTCCGTACGAGGCCTTGCAGGCTCGCAGCCTGCTTTACAGCGGAGATGGCAGCTTCCTTGCAGATACAGAAACTGAAGTAGTGGGGAAGCTCAGGTGATTCACCCAAGGCCACAAAGTGAATCAGTGGCAGATACAGGAACAGCCCCTTTCCCTCCCCCCAAGGTCCTGGCTCTGAATTCGGCTTCCTTGCCTACTGGCACCGGGGGTGGCATTGAAGGGCTGTGCGAGGCAGCACTCCAGGGTGGAGAGGGTTTGCGCCACATCCCCTTTCTGGAGCAGCGTCAGCAACCCGCTGGTCACTGCGATGCTGACCTGAAACAGCAAGTAGCCAGCTGGCTTGGGGGTTGATTTATTGAGGGGCTTACCTGTCCCTCTATTTCAGGGGCCTCTGGCAGGCGAGGTGCGGTGGGGGCTGGCCTGGCCACTTGGCATGCTCCCTCCGCTCCCATGTATGGCGAGTCCAGGCTGCCAGCCTGTGACTCCAGCCAATCGGAGCCTTCGTCCCCGGCTCTGGTTCTGAGAAACGGCGAGGGAGCGTAGCGAGTTCTGCGAAAGAAATGGAGCAGGATGGGCTGCGCTTTGGCCAGTTGGGAGAGGTCACACGGGGTGAGCGTTTCACCGGCTGATCGCTGTCAGGCGGGGGCTGTGCTCTGCAAGCGGGAGTGGGGGACGCCTATTCCCAGCACAGCCACTGACTCACTAGCAGCTCTGTGCCTCAGTTTCCCCACCTGTAAAATCGAGCTAACAGCAGCACCAGTGGTCCCCCATATTCTTTCCACCCATGTGCGGAATACATTTTATTTACACCAAGGCATGTGCAGGTGTGCACCACCGGTAGAAACGCAAGCTATGGGGGCCACTGCTTGGCAGAGGTGCTAAGGTTTGAGGAGAAGTGAGCAGCCCCCCACCCTGTGTGCAGCTACTATTTCCCACGTGGCAGCGCTCCGGATGGAAGGGGCAGACGGCTGGAACAAGCGGCTGAGTGTGAACCCGTGTCCCAGAAAGGGTGTTGGCAGCAGAACTTTTGCCAGTGTCACCTGGAGGCAGGTAAAGGGGCAGGCACCCAAAGGAATCTCCAGGCACTTGGGGCTGATTTCCCCCATTACACGTTAACTTCCCCCTGCGCTGCCGCCTCCCGAGCTGAGCAAACGGACCCCAGCCCCTCCGTCCCTGCCGCCTTTTCCCTCCTTCGCCCCCCTCCTCAGCCTGCGCTGCTCCGGGCCGGGGATTTCACCTGTTTCTTCCAAGAGAACATTGCCAAAATGTGACGGGCCCTTCCCCCTCCCACAGCTCTCGCCTGTGCCCTGAGCCAGCCACAGGAGTCCTGGGGAGTCGGCTCCTTTCACCCCTCCTCGCGCCCCGCAGATCCCATCTCCTCGCGCCCCGCAGATCCCGTCTCCTCGCGCCCTGCAGATCCCATCTCCTCGCGCCCCGCAGATCCCGTCTCCTCGCGCCCTGCAGATCCCATCTCCTCGCGCCCCGCAGATCCCGTCTCCTCGCGCCCTGCAGATCCCATCTCCTCGCGCCCCGCAGATCCCGTCTCCTCGCGCCCTGCAGATCCCATCTCCTCGCGCCCCGCAGATCCCGTCTCCTCGCGCCCTGCAGATCCCATCTCCTCGCGCCCCGCAGATCCCGTCTCCTCGCGCCCTGCAGATCCCATCTCCTCGCGCCCCGCAGATCCCGTCTCCTCGCGCCCTGCAGATCCCATCTCCTCGCGCCCCGCAGATCCCGTCTCCTCGCGCCCTGCAGATCCCATCTCCTCGCGCCCCGCAGATCCCGTCTCCTCGCGCCCTGCAGATCCCATCTCCTCGCGCCCCGCAGATCCCGTCTCCTCGCGCCCTGCAGATCCCATCTCCTCGCGCCCCGCAGATCCCGTCTCCTCGCGCCCTGCAGATCCCATCTCCTCGCGCCCCGCAGATCCCGTCTCCTCGCGCCCTGCAGATCCCATCTCCTCGCGCCCCGCAGATCCCGTCTCCTCGCGCCCTGCAGATCCCATCTCCTCGCGCCCCGCAGATCCCGTCTCCTCGCGCCCTGCAGATCCCATCTCCTCGCGCCCCGCAGATCCCGTCTCCTCGCGCCCTGCAGATCCCATCTCCTCGCGCCCCGCAGATCCCGTCTCCTCGCGCCCTGCAGATCCCATCTCCTCGCGCCCCGCAGATCCCGTCTCCTCGCGCCCTGCAGATCCCATCTCCTCGCGCCCCGCAGATCCCGTCTCCTCGCGCCCTGCAGATCCCATCTCCTCGCGCCCCGCAGATCCCGTCTCCTCGCGCCCTGCAGATCCCATCTCCTCGCGCCCCGCAGATCCCGTCTCCTCGCGCCCTGCAGATCCCATCTCCTCGCGCCCCGCAGATCCCGTCTCCTCGCGCCCTGCAGATCCCATCTCCTCGCGCCCCGCAGATCCCGTCTCCTCGCGCCCTGCAGATCCCATCTCCTCGCGCCCCGCAGATCCCGTCTCCTCGCGCCCTGCAGATCCCATCTCCTCGCGCCCCGCAGATCCCGTCTCCTCGCGCCCTGCAGATCCCATCTCCTCGCGCCCCGCAGATCCCGTCTCCTCGCGCCCTGCAGATCCCATCTCCTCGCGCCCCGCAGATCCCGTCTCCTCGCGCCCTGCAGATCCCATCTCCTCGCGCCCCGCAGATCCCGTCTCCTCGCGCCCTGCAGATCCCATCTCCTCGCGCCCCGCAGATCCCGTCTCCTCGCGCCCTGCAGATCCCATCTCCTCGCGCCCCGCAGATCCCGTCTCCTCGCGCCCTGCAGATCCCATCTCCTCGCGCCCCGCAGATCCCGTCTCCTCGCGCCCTGCAGATCCCATCTCCTCGCGCCCCGCAGATCCCGTCTCCTCGCGCCCTGCAGATCCCATCTCCTCGCGCCCCGCAGATCCCGTCTCCTCGCGCCCTGCAGATCCCATCTCCTCGCGCCCCACAGATCCCATCTCCTTGTGCCCCGCCTGCCCAGCCCTCCCCGTCTTGTTCTTCCCCTTTGGCTCTTCTCTCCCCTCTGGCTCTTCCCCCTCACAGCACAACCGGGGGGTCGTCACTCCTGTCTGAAATCCAGCCCCCTCTCCCCACGCGTGTGTGTGTGGAGCCGGGATGGGCAACGCACTCAGTTCCTGCCCCTGGAGTTTCTCTCCTCCCCTCCTGCCCCTGCAACCAGTCGTCTCTTTCCTGGCAGCTCTCAAAAGCCGCCCGCCATCCTGCGCCCCCTGCACCCGGCGGCCACGTGGGCCACAGTCGGCCCTGCGCTTCCCCTCCCCTCCCCTCCGTGTCCGCCTCCTCCTGCCTCCCACTGCTTCACTGTCCTTGGAGGCTCCTCTTCCGCCGCCTCCCCCTGCCGTGGGGTTTCCCGGGCGGTGTCCCTTCCCCCGGCTTGCCCCCTCTCCGCCTTGTCTTGGGGTAACCGCATCCACAGGCCGTTCCAGGCCCCGACTCACAGACCTACCTCTCACCAGACAGCCCCTCCTCCCTCTTGGTCAGACAGGGCCCCCCTGAAAACCTCCTGCAGGCTTCGGCGGACCCCTTGAAACCTGCTTGCAGGCCTTTGCGGGAGCACCCCTGCCTGAGACCCGCCGGTTCAGACCCCCTCCCAGGTGCACCTCAGCCTCTGGTCGTCTTGCTCGGTGCCCTGTCCATAGGGTGGCCAGGTGTCTGGTTTTGAACCGAACGGTCCAGTATCTGAGCAGACAGAAAGTCTGGGAAACAAATGGAGAAACTAGAATTGTCCGGGATTTTCTAGCTCCGACGGAATGTCGATTGTGATGTTGTGTCAAGGTGTCCGGTATCTTTGCTGAAACCCTCTGGCAGCCCTCCCCATCCACCGTGCTCCCCTGGCCAGGGTGGCCAGGTGTCTGGTTTTGAACCGAACGGTCCAGTATCTGAGCAGACAGAAAGTCTGGGAAACAAATGGAGAAACTAGAATTGTCCGGGATTTTCTAGCTCCGACGGAATGTCGATTGTGATGTTGTGTCAAGGTGTCCGGTATCTTTGCTGAAACCCTCTGGCAGCCCTCCCCATCCACCGTGCTCCCCTGGCCAGACCTAGCAGTTCTCAGATGGGGGGCAGGACCCCCACGTGGGTCGCGACCCTGTTGGAACGGGCGTTTAGACTTGTGGGGACCCAGGCCTAAAGCTGAAGTCTGAGCTTCAGCCACAAGCTCCCCTGTGTGGCTAATCCCCAGCCACCCACCCCCCCGTGCCGGCGACCTACCTGCTCCTGCCTCCGCCAGCCCACCTGGCTGCTTGTTCCACCTGCAACCAGGCCCCTTTGCACGTTCCCCCAGGCGGCTCCTCGGGCGGGGAGGTGCGAGCTCTCCCCATAAGCAGCCACCGAACTGCCCCAGCGCCCCCCCTCACGCTCCCTGGCCACGCTCCCCCCGGGGCCCCTGCCAGCGTCTGCATCCGGGGGGCCCAGACCATTGCCCGCCCTGCTGACTGTCTCGTTATTCCCTTGGCCTTCCCATCCAGCCCCTGCCTCCTGTTTACCGGCAGCTGCTGCCTTTGTGTGCTGCGTGTGTGCAGCACCTTGCACGCCGGCCCACCATTGCAAAGTGCTGTTTTTCCTGGCTCTCGGGGCCCAGTTCCAGCCGCTCGCCCAGCTCCTCCCCCCGGAGCTTGACGCAGAAGAAGGGAGTTTTGGCTCTTTTTAAAGCTAAATTTACCTCCCATTGTACGGGGCCCGTCACATGAAGCAAACGCGTCTTTCCCAGCACGTTTCCATTGGCCAAGCTGTAATTATCCCCCCCCCCTCCTCCCGCCTTCCTTCCCTCCTGCCCTTTGTTTCCTGTTCATGGAACGTGGGGGAGAGATGTCAGCAATTGTTTAAATGCTGCTTAAATCATCGGGGCTGGCAGCCCAGCTCTGAGAACAGAGTTCCCGCGTTCCCGCTGGCCCGGGGTTGGCGGCATTTCTGCTCCAGCCCCCAGCAAACCACAGGAGCCTCGTGCAGCAGAGGTGAGCAGCAATGGAAGCCAGCAGCCAGCGGCAGGGCCCGGGATGTCTTTTATGCTGCTTTATGATGCAAACAGGGGTGGGGGAAAGCCAAGGTTTGGCCCGTATGCGTCTGTTAGAACTTCAGCTCTCGTCTACGCTCCTTTTCTCAGAGTGACTCTAGAGCTAATGGAGAGCTGGGCTCTAGGCCCAGCTCCGCCAGTGCCTCACCAGATAACCTTGAGCAAGTCACTTCCTTACCCCGGGCCTCAGTTTCCCCAACTGTAAAATGGAGTGAATGATTCTTAATAGAGTTCTGACATCTAGCCCCAGACCTGTGAGAGCTGCTGAATTGTGAAGGGTGAGGATTTTTCCTTCACCACTTATTGGGTTTGGTGGGTGTAGTAAGATAAAGGCCTAAAACATTAGCCCATGCAGCACAGGCCTGCTCTGAGACCTGAGGCCTAGCTAGCAATGGACAAAACATGGCTAACATAAAGCAAAGCTAAGCTGTGAGCAAGAGGAAGGCCCCAGCTCACAGAGCGTGGCATGAACAGGGCTGAGAGTGCAAAACACTAAGTGGTGCTAGGTACTGACTGCAGAACAAGAATTGGTACCGGTCAGGAGTTGAAATTCCATGGTACCACTAGCTCATTAGAAAAGACCTGGGTACCCACGGCTCATAGATACAGACCCAGCTTCAGGACAGGGTCTAAAAGGACAGCGTGATGGATAGAGAGGAGCTAATCGAACCACGAGGTGCAGGGTGATGGGTGGTACCTGACAGCGTCAGAGGGTGGTAACCTGACACGTCAGCAGTGAGGTGTGATCTGTTTGTACCTGTATATAAAGTGGTGTGTTGGGGGAAGAGTCTTTGGATGACCTAGGGGGCAGTGGAAATTTCCCACTGACTGAGCCATTCCGTTGTGGCGAGTCCATATGCGTAGTGGTTCAGTAGAGTCTACCGACAACTCTGACTGTACTTGGCTTTACAGTAAACCCGGCCTGGCCCCTCCGATCCTTATCTGGTTTGTGGTCTTTGGGTTTGCTGTGCAGACGGCACACATCACTGCGCGCGCACAAGCATCCTTCTGGTTACCGTCATCCATGGAGCTAAAGACCTGCGAGGCCCTTGGCCGTAAATCCCCACCACTCTCCTGAAGAACTACAGTGCAGAGGGTGCTTAGTACGCACATTTAATTCAAGTGGCCAGTGAACCCTGGGGAGAAAACAAATTGCTGCGAAGGGTTTGACATGCCTCCCCTTGCCCACGCCCTGTCACTGTGGGCTCCCATGGGCGATGCCCTGACCCCAACAAGAACCAGCACGTGAGCTTCTGGATTGGTCAAGCTGCCCATCCTGGCCAAAAACTCTTTGGGTCGTAAGGTGGCCACAGAGCCACAGCAGTGAGAACCGTTGTCGAAGGCAGCCGAGTGCCACGCCTTTTACGAGAATTGTCTGTAGCCAAGACCCAGCCGTGCACTTTCTGATGGGCCTTCTACAGCGCCCGCGGGGGGCGTGGCTAGCGCCCAGGAGAGACACGGCGCGGCGCAAGGGTGTTTCTAAATGGCATGAGGCTACGACGAAGGGAAACTTTTCTCCCACCCTGAGAACCGTTGTCGAAGGCAGCCGAGTGCCACGCCTTTTACGAGAATTGTCTGTAGCCAAGACCCAGCCGTGCACTTTCTGATGGGCCTTCTACAGCGCCCGCGGGGGGCGTGGCTAGCGCCCAGGAGAGACACGGCGCGGCGCAAGGGTGTTTCTAAATGGCATGAGGCTACGACGAAGGGAAACTTTTCTCCCACCCTCGAAGAAAGCCGATCCCCAGCTCTGCCAGCAGCCTCGCCTCTGCCACGGGGACGGACGCGCCCTCCAGGGAGACGACGCCAGCCCCCTGCCTCGATTTACATAAGTTCAAACCAAAGCATTCAGAGCCCTCCGGCAAATTGTGTAACACACACACACACACACACACACACACACCCTGCCTGGCCATGTGGGCTCAGAGTCACCTCATAATTATCCTGCTGGGAAATCAAGTTCCCAGGCTGGGGACTGAGGTCTGGAGCTGTCATGGGGCCGGAGGCGGCAATGAGGGTTGGGGTGGGTGGAGGAAAGGGAAGTTACAGGGTC